GATGGGGGGGGGGGGGCATACTAGATTGGAGCATACTGACACTTTAATGGAGCACATTTTAAGGAAGGGAGAATGTTTAGTGGATCCACACACATTGGTTATTCTATCCTTTGTTGTATGTTGTGAAAGAAACTATTATATTGACTTAAAAATTGTCGTATTTCATCTGCTAAGAAAAAAACCCCGCACCAACGGCTGGAACTACGACAACTTTTACGGCAGCACTGTCCAAGTCTGTTTACAGTTTCTGATCCACTAACAAGTCCTTAAACATACAGAGCCCTAGTCCTTGACAGCGGTCTGTACTACTGTATTAACAGTGTCACATGTTCTGAATTGACCAATCAGAATCGGGTATTCAACTAAGCCGTGTCGAAATACTGTTAAACCACGGAAGATGGGAACACGTTAACATGAAAATAAACATTTCGACTACCTATGGACACACGTTGGCATGCATTTACTGTTAATGCTGGTAGATCGAAGGTCTTTAAGACAGATGTCACTGTAAGATGCATTTCTAAACTGTGGCCTTAATGTGTCTTGTGTGCTGCAGGTGATGGTGACCAACGTGACGTCCCTCCTGAAGACGGTTAAGGCGGTCGAGGATGAAGCCACCAAAGGGACCAGAGCTCTGGAGGCGACCATCGAACACATCAAGCAGGAGCTGGCTGTGAGTCACGACACTTTATGTATTGGTCCACAGCGTCCACACTACAGCTTCAAAAAAAGCTTGCCGGCGGGCGTGTCTGAAGCTCGACCAACAACCAATCACATGAATCTCCCGTCCCTGACACACAAGCAGCGGTTTGATTGGCTAGAGCTTGTACTGGCATATGATTTGATTGGCTGACGCTTCCACCGAAAGCTTCAGAAGCTTCAAAAGTTGAACATTGCTCTACTTTTGCAGCCTGAAATGCCAGGAAAGCTCCGCTCTGCTACCCACAATTCAGTTCGGCGAAAAGCGAGGCAACGTGACGTCACCCCATTCAAAGTGAATGGGCAGACGCGTTGGAAACCGTTTTTGAAGCTGTCGAAGCTGTAGTGTGGACGGGCCGTAAGACACATGGGAGCTTCAAACATTCCCAAGTGGGGTATCTACTGACACATTTTATGTTGTAGAAGGAAACGTAAACATCTCTTCCGCTTATTTCAGACCTCATTTCAGACCTTATTTCAGACCTTATTTCAGGTATCTAATCGAAGAAAAACACTGACTTCGAGACAAGGGTACCAGAAGCGATAAAATGCTAACTCATTTCCACGTTTCCACTTTCTCACAGTCAACATTTAGGAAAAGATGTTTCTTTACTCCACCCACCAATAGAAGATGCTTTAGTCTACTCTGAAAGCAGTTTCGTTCCAGTAACAATGATTCATTTCCAACGCTGATCCTCTAGCATGAAATGTACTGGATTGTTGGATAAAATAAATGTGTATTTACCATGAGGTATCTCACTAACGGTCCGCTGTATTTTCCCACTCAGGTGTTCAGCAGTTCTGAGCCTCCGCCGAAAACCACCACACCTGAGGAGTTCATTCGCACCACCAAAGGAATCACCATGGCGACAGCAAAGGCAGTGGCTGCTGGGAATTCTTGTCGTCAGGAAGACATCATCGCCACGGCCAACCTCAGCAGGAGGGCCATCGCTGACATGCTGCACTCCTGCAAGGTGAACAGGAGCTATATATACAGTATATACACTTTGTATATACATCCTGGCATCCTGAGCGCTTGATAACCAATGTCAATGTGGATTTTGAATATTTTTTTTTCATTCTGTATAATTTTGACTTTGAAATAATGGCATAATTATCATAATCTTTTTTTGTGATCACATTTTTATTGAGACTTATACAAAACATTTACAACCAAAAGCACAACTTTAAAAAAAATAAAAAAATAACTCAAAGTACATAATAAAAATAAAAATTAGACAACAGCAATTACTTACAAAATATTCAAAATACAGAATACATATGTAAGCTAAAAATAATAACAGTAATACAGACAAACAGAAATAAAATTAAAACAAACCCAACCCAACCCTCCCTCCCAGACATATACACACACACACACTCACTCACTCACTCACTCACTCACTCACTCACTCACTCACTCACACACACACACACACACACACACACACACACACACACACACACACACACACACACACACACACACACACACACACACACAAAGGGTGTTCGCTGTTGGGTGTATACCATCATTATTATAATTACTTGCCTCTAACTGGACCACGTGAGAACCACCCTGCTCCTTATTGTAACCCATGATAATGACTCAAATAGTAGTAACAAATAATAATAATGATAATAATTCAAACACTGAAGGCATCATCTACCTATTTAATCATTAACCGTGCAACATGCAGTCACAACATTTGTCAGATGTGTCGTTGAGATTTAAATAAAGGTTGAGTTTCAGGGTTGGTTTTGAGTAATGTGTGTAGGAAAAAGGGAAACGGCCATTTATGGAAACTCATGTATTCCATCAAGTATAGGAACACAACGAATAAAAAACAATACGAAAATAAAATAAATATAAAAGTACAAGGCCTTAGACTTGTGTCATACTCATTGTTCACACTTCATCAATAGTCGAAGCGAGGGATGATTTAATAATTATACATTCATACACACAGTTTAACATTACCTTTAGTGTATTAGTAACTTCTCTCGTTCTCACTGGGATCTGCAGGGTGAAAAGCTTCTTTCCTAACCCTTTGTGCTTATCCAATCAAAACATTGGTCACCAAAGACCATACGATTTCCTCTTTTATGAGCATTGTCGTGGCGTTTTAATCCGTTTCTACATTTAATATCCACTTTTCTCTGTCAGGGTTGTGGGTTATGATGCTTCCAAACAAACTTTGCGGAAATCGTTGAAGCGTTGGATCACATCAGATGTATTCTTTGATCCAGGCTGCATACAAACATGAAGACAAACTTCCTCGCTTCAAAGTAACTAAAAGTTCTCCTTATCAAAAAAGAACACGGTCAAAAGACTATACCGCTTCCCGTCTAATCACAAACTCAGCTGTGTACCATTGTCATGCCATATATAGACATACAGACATGCACGTCATACCCGACATTTGACAGCAAATAAGTGACACTTAAATTAGCACCTTTTTAAACCGAGTGTGACTCACAAAAACAAATAGTTAAGAGTTTACTCTAAAGCCTTATATTAATAAGACAAACATTCAAACCATAATGATGAAAGGAAAATGGCTCTAACAAGCATTATATATTTTAACATGTCCCACTGCCTGTACGGCCAGTGTTGGTTCCAATGT